CAGAATGTTTACTGGGGTCATATGTGCTTTAGATGCCCTTCTACTCGGATGATAATTGTGGAAAATATTGGTACACTGTAGAATGGTCCATGTGGAGCTTTGGGGCTGCTCGCTGAGAGTTTTGTGGTGGGCCAGAGAGCAGAGTGCTGGTCATCTCCGCTCTCGTGTTCCAGTTCTGTGGTTTGCTTTGCTCCACGTTCATGTTTTCTCTGCCTCCAGGGGTGGCACTGCTGTGGGGAGTAAAACCTCTATGGCTCACAATCTATTTGTATCTTCTTTGGAAATTATTTCATAAGAATGGTAAGATATGAGAATGTATTTGTTTTGAGGTTGTGGTCAATAACTGACATTTGAAGCACTTTTACCAAGCTTGCTATTATATGCGACATTTTGAGACCTTTTTTCCATTCAAGATTTTGATTATTGTTAATTGTTATGGAAACTGTCCTCCTATCGATTCATCATTCTGAAACTCATGGATAATATCTGGATTTGAATTGTTCATTTCTGTGGGTCCAGTTGCTCTGGGACTCATAGGCTACGTTCAGACTGCAGGGCTTAATGTTCAATTCGAATTTTTTTGTGAAATCCGATGTTTTTGCGAGGTCGTTCACATTTCCAATTAAATGTGACTTGTATGTGACTCCAGTGTGAACATTAAACGGCCCAAAAGTGTCCCGCATGTGCACTGGAGACACGACGACGTCAACCGCAGCGAGCGTCTCTGTGTTTACTGAAGTTGTCCAAACATGGACGCAGCATTGAGCACCTAGAGATTTTAAAGTTCCTCTCGTACCAGAGCCAGAACATGAACAATCTTACTTGTTTTAAGGAGGAGATTGAGAAGAAGAAGGACGAGGTTTTTGGCCGTGGTGTTTTGTGGGGCAGCAGCAGCGACGTCCCTTGAAAGGAACGTGTGGATGTGGAGATGTAGTCAAGAGTGGTGAGTGGAGATGTGCTTCACTTCAGTGACACGGAGTTCATTAACAATTTTCGCCTACTTCAGCGCAGAATAGTGACGTTTGTGGCTTGTTGATAACATGTAGGTGGATGAATGCACTTTGACCATTCACACTGAAGTCACATGTCAAAAGATCAGATATGTATTGGTTTTAGGAGCACATATCCAAGTGTCCTGGGTCACATTTGAAAAAATCAGATCTGTGTCATTCAGACTGTCATTAAAAGATCAGATACAGGTCACATAGGGGCCAAAAAATCGGACTTGGGTCACTTCAGGCTGCAGTCTGAACGTAGCCATAGATAACAAGACCATAGACATGCACAGATGCTGAATTCTCTGTCTCTGCTGCTACAACTCACTTCAAGTGACTTGACCAGAGTGACCAGACGTCCCTATTTACCAGGGACAGTCCCAGTTTTGAGCTCCGTGTCCTCTGTCCCAGCAGATTTATCCAAAACCAATGATTTGTCCCGGTTTTATAGAAGAAATGTCCCATGTGTTCCTATTTTTGACCAATTTGATGCCTGCCAACAGTAAAGAGCGGCATAAATTGTCATTTGTTTCAGTAAAATGCAGAAAAACATGCTCGACTATACTGACTCACATGTTATGAATGGGCCGAGTGCAAAACAATTTTCCTTAATTACACACTCGTTACACAATTTTATTACCAACTACCAAACCAAGGGAGTCACAGTTTTTAGTTTAGTTTTTTTTTTCGTTTTGTTTTTTTGTATTTTGAAAATCTGGTCACTCTACACTTGCCTGTGCTTGAACCCTCCTGCACACGCAAATGAACGGTGAAGCCAGTCCCTGTGACAAAGTATAAAACATATACAACATGTTTATTTCATGACATTATAACATGTGGATGATTAGATGTGTGTAAAATCCCTCAGTCATTTAGGAAGTCATCTCCTTTTGCCATGTGGATGTTTAGTGGTCACTAGATGTTTTCTACAACCACATGTTCAAAAATCTCATCTGAAAGTGGATTAAGCTCAGATGAGACTTTTACGTGCTAATAATGATCTACAATAGAACACACAAAAGTTTACACACTCAACAATGACTTTTAACAAGGCTCTGACCTCATGTAAATGTGGTCAGCGGGTTAGTACCAGCCCACACTCTCGATTGTTAGTCATTTAATTGTTTTGTGGGCAAATGCTAAAGGATATAGGAAAAAATACAGGAGACTGACTCTGCTGTTCCAAAATTTCCAAAACGAACTGAGTTTATAACTGGATTTTAGCACGAGTGTCGAATGCCACATTTATCGTATTTTCTGGGCTATAGGGGGCGCTCTTAAGCCTCCAACCCAGTCAAAAAATGACTGCGCCCCGCAATCCAGAGCGCACTATACACTAATCCACTCAGGTGTCCCAGCACGACTTCAGTAAACTAAAAAGCCGCACCACCTGCAGTGCACACAAACACACACGGAGCACACAACGACCGCACAGCGACAAACACCCACAGACACACTCATCACTCCACACGGACGAGGAACAGAATGGAGGAACGAACCGAAAAAGCGAGTGCAATGTGCCACTTCTAGACACAATTGAACAACTGAGTCACTGCGAACACGGCGACAATCCGTTGGTCCCAGACACACCCTCCCTACACGCCACAACTGAACAAAGCCCAGAGTCACCGTGAACGCACCAAACAAACAAAACCACTCACCCATCACACTGTTGGGTTTCCTTTAAAGCCTGGTGCAGTTTATTTGTGAAAAAAGTTTGAAAATAGACCATTTAATGACAGTGCGTTTTATAATCCAGAGCAACTAATAGCCCAGAAAATACGGTACTAATGATAGTGTTTATCTGTGCGCAAGACTCACTTTAAGCTGCACTGTGCGACTTTTCTTTTTTTTGAAGGCACCACTTCATTATCTCCATGGTGATCTTATTTCCTTTGCCTGGAATGTCCCACAGTATGGCATTAAACTTGTCTTTCTCCCTGAGAGGCGAGCAATAAAAACAGAAAATAGATAATAAATACCACACGGTGATACATTCATGGAGACAAGCTGATGGAGGGAAAGTTTCATAGTGGACAGATCAGTCATAGATCAACTTTTTTTTCTGGGGACCAATATTTTAAATGTCACAAATCTTCACAGTCAAAGACAGTATTCGTAAGTCACATTCTTTAACATTATTGAGTATATTGTATTGTTGACTGAGTGATCTTTTCTCTCTGAACAATCAGTATTACTGTTTTTTTTTCAGAATATAAGGCGCACCGGATTATAAGGCACAATATCAATAATGTTGAATTTATTTTAAAATATTTTATTTATAGTTGAATTTGAATAAATTTTCATACATAAAACGTACCGGATTATAAGGCGCATTAAGCGAAACAAACGGACGACACTTGAGACTTTGAGGGGGGACAGGAGCTTCTCTGTGGTCGGCCCTAAGCTCTGGAACGATCTGCCGCTTCACGTTCGAGCAGCACCCACAGTGGAGAGCTTTAAATGTTGTCTGAAGACCCACTTTTATTCTCTGGCTTTTAACACCGTGTGAGTTGTGTGGTCCTCTGTGTCTTTTTATTTATTTTAATGTGTTTTTATTGGTTTTACTGATTTAATTTATTTATTGGTTTATTTATTTCTATTCTATGATTTTGTTTTTATTTTATTTTACTGGTTTTATTTTATTTTACTGGTTTTATTATTTTAAAACTAGTATTATTTTAGTAGTTTATTTTATCATCTTATTGTTGTTATTTTTATGTATTTGTGCAGCACTTTGAAAACAGTTTGTTTGTGAAATGTGCTATAGAAATAAAGTGGATTGGATTTGGATTTTTTATTTCCTCAACTATACCCTGAGTAATAATGTGTTTACTGAAGCTTTGTGCACATTTGTTTATGTTTTGCAGAAACTTAAAACCGCATGGCTCATTTTCATAAACTATAAGTGGAAAAAAAAAAAAAAAAACAGCTCTCTCCTTGTGCACTGATGTGGTTCAGCTTCTATCAGACTAAAAAATATCGCTCAGTGGAATATGAGTGAAAATTAATAATGAATAATAATGTAAATGAAGAATGAATACATAAGGCACACTGTGGATTTTTCAGAAAATTAATGGATTTTAAGTGCGCCTTATAGTCCGAAAAATATGGTACTCGAGTTTTAAAAACAGTAATCAGTGTTTACCACAGAAAATTGGTTAGAAAAAGTGAGGAGCAGGGTGAGCAGAGATTCTGTACACGGAGAAGAAATATACAAAAAGAAGATTTATCCAAAACCAGTGATTTGTCCCAGTTTTATACAAGAAATGTGCCAGGTGTCCCTATTTTTGACCAATCTGATCCCTGCCAAAAGTAAAAAGAGGCATACATTGTCATTTGTTTAGGTAAACTACAGAAAAGCTGCTTAAAAACAACTGAAACACAAAGAAAATGTGACTATACTGACTCCAATGGGCCGAGTGCAGGACAGTTTTCCTTAATTACACACTCCTGTCACAGTTTAATTCTTACCAGTCACCCCAAACCAGGAGTGTCCCAGTTTTTGTTCACCCAAATCCGTTCACTCTAATAGTGGAGCTTCTGTAAAGTTCACAAATGGACTTGAGAGTGCATTTATCTGGGATTTGATACAAAGTGTTGTAATCTTTATGATGCTTGTGCAAACATGCAGCTCCTCTTCCATGAGAATAACACATGGCCTCACACAGACTGGGATTAATATATGAACAAATTCCACATATGGCCATGATATTAGCGCGGGTATATACTGTGGTCCATCCTGCTCTTGCATTTGGGTCTGTTTTGATCTTAATTCAATATCTGATTCAAATGGTCGAGTTTCCGAAGCAGAGTGTCATGTGTTTTTGATGTGCTTGCTGAGTGTACTGATCATTACCACCTGAGACATGACATATTATGAGCTGAGTGAGGCAGCATGAGTAAAGCAGCATAATGATGCAGTAAAAGTCATGAAAGCGTAGCGTAGCATTAGCTTCTGACATAGTTTCCGTTGAGTATGTATGTACAGAAGTATGCTCTCACCTTAGACTTGGCTCTCATGAAGGGGGCGCTCACGTTGCAGATCCTCTCAGGCCGCAGCTTGTCCTCACGGCTGCACACCATCTTGATGTCAGAGTTGTCCTGCAATAGATTTACAAACATTAACAGTAAATATCCATGTTTACAAAGAGGATTTATGCTGTAGGTTTATAAAAACTGACCTACAACTACTAAAATGAATTCTATGGTACAGGAAGAACATGAAAACTCTACACCAAAAGGCCCAGAATCAAACCCAGGACCTTCTTGCTGTGAGTCAAGAGGACTAACTGCTGCATCACCATGCTTCTTACCTTCACATGCAGCCTGGTGAGGAGACTAGTCTCACAATACTTTTTGACAAAAGTGTCAAGAATCAGATAATAACTGATACTGAAATTAAACAACATTAAAAGTCATATTCACAAGAGAGAATTAAATCTTTAGCATGATCTCAAGCTGTATCAGAACAAGTATAAGAGCACACAGACGAGTCTGAGTCTTAAGGTGCTTTCACACAGTAGTTGGTGCACCAAATGTTCCATCTGAACCAAAAGCGCTTAGTTCAGTTCGTTTTCGTTGGTGTGAAACTGCACTAAATCAAGTGGACTGAGACCTCAAAAGAGGTAATCTTGGTCTGTTTGACTCCACACCAAATGCCAAACTCTGGTGTGTCTCTCTGGTGAGAATACCAACTTAGGTCCAAACCATAGACAGTAGGTTCAAACCAACTATTCCAACATCATGGGAGGACAGGCTCAGACTTCTGAATTGAGCGCACCAGCCCGTCCTGGTCCTCAAGTTCCACTGTCCCAAATTGAGCGCACGCCCCGGGCGTGACAGGGGCCGGGGTTGGGTCCGGAAGCTTGCCCCACAACTGGTGGTCCATAGGTTTGTGAGTCCAAGCTTCTCTGGCCCAGAGACTGGCTTCCGTTTGGAGGGGCTCCGTGGGAAGGCCACCGGGTGAGACAGTGGGTCTTGGCCTCACTTCCAAGAGGTCTGGAATGTGGGAGAGTCTCGGCATCTCTGAGTCACGTGCAGTCAAACCGGTTGTGCGCATGAGCCTTGGATACGTCAATTTTGGTTGGTTTGCAGGTGTGAAAGTGGACCACACAGGAGTCTATATGCTACATAAGAACAATTTTATTGTCTGGTGCGAACCAAATAAATGAACTAGTCGTGTGAAAGCGCCCTCACCTTCACGTACAGACTGGTGAGGTGGTGGTGGTGGTGTGAGTCTTACCTTCACGTGCAGACTGGTGAGGTGGTGGTGGTGGTGTGAGTCTTACCTTCACGTGCAGACTGGTGAGGTGGTGGTGGTGGTGTGAGTCTTACCTTCACGTGCAGACTGGTGAGGTGCAGGTTGGGGCTGTGGCTGATGTTGATTCTGGCTCCATAGGCGTTCTCTCCTTTGTTCTCCAGTCGTACATCCACCACCATCCGCCCTCTCCTCGCCTCCATCACCCGCAGACTGCCCTCTGTGCCAGCCTCTCCCACGTGCCCACAGAACACCCCCTGAGACTGCACCGGCTGGGCACAGAACTGCCTGGGAATAGGACAAGCACACAGGATTAGGACTAGTGCATGGATTATAATGGAGGTCCTTCTGTGCAAATTCATATTTTTCTTATTTAGGTAAAAATGAAGAATGCATACAAAAGGTATGGTGTACTGTTAGATTTATTCAGTGAAGAACTACCTCACACGTGTTGTATTGTATTGTGTGATTTGTGATGATTGTTGCAGTACACATTTCTGTAAGTCTACAGGTCATGACCTGAGTTTGTTTGTTCAGCTCTGAGCATGCGCTCCATGTGTGGCTCATCTGTAATATTCACAACAGGTCGATTCAAGGTATTTCCTGGTATTGCTTTGGCTACAGATATGAGGATACGAGGAAGGGTCTTTGGTTGCAGTCGTCCATGCGTCTGTCTCACTCAGTCCTATGAGGACACATTTTTCCAAAGTAACGACCCAAAACATTCAATATTTTTAACATTTCCAAGAGATGTGCTGTAAAAGCCTGAATACATTTCCTGTCCTGTCCTGAAACTCTGACATAAAGCTGACATAAAAATGAGTGTATAGAGTATACTGTAAGAACAGTATTCCATCTCTATTTCCATCTCAAGGTATGTATCCAGTATAAATAAATATAGCTTTTATTGAGGCCTTTATGAATCATCATCATAAGCTGGTAAAAGTGTGAGTGTAATAATTAGAGTAAAGAATTAAACACTCAGGCACTTACTCACTCACACACAATGTAAATTTGAAATTTGAAAACAGAAAAAGAAGCTGGCTTTAATCCATTTCAATGATTCACAATGAAACATGTGAATTGTTGTTTTACTGTTTCTAGTCCAATAAAAAGCCTGCTGTATGTGCTGCACAGAACCTACACACACCTACTGTGTGTGTGTGTGTCTGTGTGTGTGTGTAATGTGCAGCAATGAGGAGGAGAAATCAAAGATAACATGATGAAGAGCATTGATTTCCACGTGTTGTATCTGTGGGTCTGTCCCAGCGTCTCTGCTCCATGCACACAGCTGCTGTTTGAGGCAGAGACACAGCAGGTGATCGGCCACACTATGTGATTTGCATTGTGGGAAATATACTGGATGGAGTAGAAGAATATGTAGAAGAAAGATCTCACAAGATCATTTTCCTCATGTGTGCACAAACTTGTAGCACTTTTATCTTGTAAGACCCTGTCCCATTCCTCACAGTCTTTGGTTTAAACCCACTCTACATGATCCTGGTGTTTTTATTTTACTATTTTGTCTCTAAATCAAAATATGGACAGAACAGACCAGTCAGGTGCCTTCTTTCCCTGAGTTTGCTCCAGTTAGTCTTTGCATCAGGTTTAAGTTAAGTTAAGTTAAGTTATCAAGTTAAAACTCATTGACTCATTAAGTGAGAAGGGGTGAGTACCTTAAACAACCTCACTTCTGATTGGCTCTTTAAATGTGCACATGGATTTCCACATATGGTCCCTGGTTGCAGATTAGGCACTACAACAGCTCGCCTTGATGGACTTTGATTTGTTTGCAATCAAATGTTATTGGTGACTACTCACACACTCTGCCCCAGTCCACTTCGATTACACAGTGTACGCTCTGTGGGTTTGTCAAATCTTACATTGATCATGGGGATTGGATGACGTATCGTAAGTAGCACCATCAAATTGAAAATGGCTTCCGGATGGGAGTCGAAACGTCTCTGATTTCAAAAACAGATGACGAAACTTTTCTGCACTGTCAGAATTAAATATCACTGCAAACAAACAACAATAGTCTGTACAACTGACCGCAAACGTGCAGAAGGAGGTTTTGTTTAGAGGATCAGGCTGCAAGTTTCCCCTCTGGATATTCTAATTTTTGCATATCTCCAAAACAACAGTTAAAATCTTCGCCATGTTTTGACATATCTCTCATCTCTGTTGAGCGCAGACTAAAGCTCACTGATGTGGCCTCATGCAGGAGACAGCTGCGTACACAGACTGCACAACATCAGCCACAGGATCTGACTCTGGCATTGGACACACATAAAAGACGCTCTGGATTTTAATTTTAAATTTCACTATCTTGACCTATCTATGTCCCCAGATACGAGGTCATTACAAAACATTAAATGTGATTGCCCTGTTATTTATGTTATATCTGCACAGGAGCCTATATAATGCTTCTCAAGATTAATGTCCAATCAGAAAACACAATGACCCTCATAATCCATGTGTCATTCGTTCATTTGTTCTTCAAAATAAAACCAAAAATAAGAAAAACAACAATTTTCTTCATTATTTGTCTCCAAAACCAAAATGAAAAAACGGGTAATGATTTTTTTTTTTTTTTTTTTTTCAGTTTTTGATTTTGTCTTTAAATTAATAAAAAAAAAAATGACAAAAATTTTTCCAATTTTGACCCTTACGGACTGGACCAGGACTGAACCAGGAATGAACTAGGTCTAAAACAGGACTAAACCAGAACCGAACCAGAACTAAACTGGGACTGAGGAGACTTGAGGACAAGTCAAAGATTAGTCCTGGTTTAGTCATGGTTTAGTCATGGTTTAGTCCTGGTTTAGTCCTGGTTTAGACCTGGTTTAGACCTGGTTTAATCCTTCTTCAGTTCTGGTTTAGTCCTTTTTTAGTCTTGGTTCAGTCTGGCATCGCAGTCGCGGAAATGTTTTTTTTTGTTTTTGTTTTTGTTTTTCATTTTGGTTTTGGAAACAAATAATGAAGAAAATTGTTGATTTTTCGTTTTCTTATTTTTGGTTTTCCATCCATCCATCCATCCATTTTCTTCCGCTTATCCAAGGTCGGGTCGCGGTATTTTTGGTTTTATTTTGAAAAAATAACAAATGAATGATACATGGATTCTCACATGACTCTCTCATTTGGGTTGCCAGGTTCAATGCCGAAATCCAGTGTGTTTAAACCTAAAATGTCTCGCTCTGATTGGAATGGACACGCCCTAAACCCCAGCACCTGCACCAATCCTGAATCAGTGCTAGTGCAGCCTCTGCAGCTCAGTGAGGGAATTCTGGAGGTTTTGAGCTTCACATAAATGTGAATACATGTGTCCATATAATGAGAACGAGACAAACTTGTATGTCTCCTTTGTATGTAGGTTAAAATACAAACAACCCAGTTTCTTTGGAGATTGTAGTACTTTTTTAAACCAGTAAGAGTTCAGATTCCTTTAAAGGTAATAAAGCTTGTTATCTTAAGTCCTGTAAGTAAACTTGATGTACAGTATATCATGTATTATCTATCAAATGCACATTAGAAGCTTATCAGATTAAAGCAGGTTCTGTACAAGCTCCATTAGCATCAGTGCGTCTCTGTCTGTGGCTCTGTCAGGGGCACAGCTCAAAGCACACGTCTTTCTTTAAACTATGGTCTCAGGAAAACACTGGAGTCTTTGAACCAGGACTCTCAGAAAACTACAGTTATTATAACAGAGGAAACTCTCTACCAAACTATGAGCTGCCACTTTTCCAGTGTAAACAGAAAGTTATGCACAATGAACTCTGCACATGTACACATTTATATTAGATTTAAAACAACATTTGCATCGTAATGTGCATAATTACTTCAGTGCTATAAGTGTCTCCTTATGTTGGAGAGCTGTTCTACCTCAAGTACTGACTGAAGGCGCTTGATCTGAGATTTATTGTCTTAGAAAAAGAACTAGTTCATTTGAAACAGTTTCAGTGATGCAAAGTTATTCCTCTCTTACCTTATACATTCTGAGGCTAATTACTCACCACGCTGAGTTTATAAACTTTTAAAAGCTTTCAGAGGAGAGGGCTTTAAAGCTACCAACAACTAGTGTGCTAACGCGCACTTCCAGATTCTCTGACAATAACTTACTTAAATTCTGGGGCAACACAAGTTTTACTCAGATACAGGAACATTAAAGGATATTATGCAAAATCTACTTTTTGAGTATTTTAACATTATTCTCTCATTAAAAACCTGCCTGAGAGGTTTAGAAAAAAGAGGTTTTAGAAAAAGGTCATCCGTGCATGTTTGAGTAATTTAGTGATCTCTCCCAGGCCCTATTCAAACCTTCCTTACAGTTAGGTGAAATATTCTGTCCAATGCTCACAAGTCTACATCCCCCATGCTCCCACCCGACAGTCCTCCATAAATACACAAAAGTGAAATATGAAACTGTACACAGCAACAAATGGTGATCTAAAAATGTGATGTGTGAGCAGTTAATAGAGCCAGACTGGCACCAACTAGTGCCTCTGCTCAAATTCATTTCTCTCCAGTGACTAGGTCAGGAATCAGATTACACTCGACGGTTTGCAAGAACCCCGTAAATTGTAGACCGCACACTCGTCGCGTCGAACAGCACAACAGTAAACAAAGCGTCGAGATGGATGTAGATGAAGACAGACATTCTGTGTTCCCAGATCCCTATGGGATTTGGTGCATTACATATGTCACGACCAAATAGCAGCGACTGGTTAAATTAAAAAAGTGCACTCCTACCGTCGAGTGAACGAATCCTAATGCTGCGAGGTCAGACGGTTTCCACAGGCTACTTAATTTAAGTTAAAAAATAATACACCGTAGAAGTAAAATATCCTGATAATAAAGTTAATAAATCTGTATTACACAGGTTGTCATCAGAGTGGCACAGGTGGTGTTTTTACTATCTCAGATATTTTTTAGGCTTATTTCCAAAGGTTTTGGATTTCACTGTTTTTGTCTTCATGTATTTTTTATCAGGTGAAATAGAAAAGGACTCTGCTTTACACCATTCCAGCAGCAGCATTTTCCACGTAAATCTGAATAAAACTCAGCTTTCATTTTTTTCGGAGAATTCAGGATAGAAATACCTTGAGCTCAAAAGATTAATAGTGTTACTAATAGCTCCAACATTTTTACTCCACTGTTTTTTTTTATTGCATTTATATGCTAATTAGAAGTGCCTTTTTGAAGAGTTTTATTATTTCACTCGTTAAGGAGCATTGGTTCTAGGGTTGTCAAATAACCTACTCGAATACTATGTTCTCTCCCATACTACTACTACTATTACACCTACTAGGCTACTACATACTACTACAACAGTATATACTAGTAAATGTGTCAACCTTCTTCTTAGTACTAGTATTTGCTGGTTAGTTGGTTCTGTGTACAGTAGTACTTGGTGGTGGTGTGTGGTACAGGTTGGTTCTGTGTACAGTAGTACTTGGTGGTACTGTGTAGTACTTACTTGGGAGTCATGAGGTCGGTCATACTCTGCAGAAACAGGTCTGGGATACAGTCGTCCTCGTCACAGCCGTTCCAGAAGGGCAGCTGCAGCACGACACGCAAATATATATTACAATATTGGTCCTCTCCCATACTACTGCTACTAATACTACTAATATTTACCTCCGCCAAGGAGGTTATGTTTTTGCCGGCGTTTGTCTGTTTGTTTGTTTGTTTGTTTGTCTGTTAGCAACATAACTCAAAAAGTTATGGACCGATTTTGATGAAATTTTCAGGATTTGTTGGAAATGTGAAAAGGAAGAACTGATTTCATTTTGGGGGTGATCCGGAAGAAATCCTGGATTCTGGATCACTTTGAAATTTTAGTGAACACTGTGGTAAATGGGGCCAAAAATTTTGTTTCTCAATATCTGGGTTAATTATTGACCAAACCCCATGAAATTTGACTCAGGGATGGACAATGGGATCCTCTTTCATATTCCAAATTGAAAGATACGAGACAAATATTTATGGAAAACACAATTAATATGAGGGGGACTGTAGTCCTTGGCGGAGGTCTGCGCTCTCTGAGTGCTTTTCGAGTACTACTACTACTACTACTACTACTACTACTACTAATAGTGCTACCACAGTGACTTCTACTACTGCTACACCATAAATAACAATATTACTCTCACAGTGACTACTGCTATTTACAAACAAATACTACTACTAGCACTTATCTTACTAATACTGCACCTTAACCCACTAGTACTACTAACTACTATTACATCTACTAGTGCTACACTTACACCTACTACAGCCTCCTCTAGAACAACACTAACCTTTACTACTACCACAGCTGCTAATTCTACTTCTAATGCTACTATCACACCTACTAGTACAACACTTACACATACTACCAGCTCCTGCTACTACTACTACTACTACTGCTACTAATATCAAAGTGACATCGACTACTGCTACACCAGCAATAACTATAATATCACTTTTACAGCGACTAATGCTAACTACTACTACTACTACTAGTACCACTAGTACTATTACAGCAAAGACTGATATTACACCAACTATTTAACCTACAACTAATGCACTACTACTACTACTACTACTACTGTACTCCTGCTGTGTCTTCTGACCTCAATGTATGTGACTACTACTACTACTACTACTACTACCACTACTACTACTACTACTACTACTACTACTACTGTGTCCTGTAACCTCAGTGCATGTAACTATTACTGTGTACTAGTACTACAACTACTACTACTACTACTACTACTACTACTACTACTACTACTACTACTACTACTACTATTACTACTGTTACTACTCCTGTATATTCTGACCTCAGTGCGTGTAACTATTACCGTGTATTACTACTATGACTACTACTACTCCTACTGTGTCCTCTGACCTCAGTGAGTGTGACTATTAGTATGTACAGCTACTATGACTACTACTACGACTACTCCTACTACTCCTACTGTGTCCTTTAACCTCAATAGTGTGTATTGATACAGTGTCCTGTGACTTCTGGGCGTGTAACCATTACTGCATACTGCTACTTTAGTGTGTACTGGTGCAGTGTGGGGTGACCTCGGTGCGTGTGACTAGTACTGTGTACTCCTAGTGTGTACTGGTGCAGTGTGGGGTGACCTCGGTGTGTGTGACTAGTACTGTGTACTCCTAGTGTGTACTGGTGCAGTGTGGGGTGACCTCGGTGTGTGTGACTAGTACTGTGTACTCCTAGTGTGTAGTGGTGCAGTGTGGGGTGACCTCGGTGCGTGTGACTAGTACTGTGTACTACTAGTGTGTACTGGTGCAGTGTGGGGTGACCTCGGTGTGTGTGACTAGTACTGTGTACTCCTAGTGTGTACTGGTGCAGTGTGGGGTGACCTCGGTGCGTGTGACTAGTACTGTGTACTACTAGTGTGTAGTGGTGCAGTGTGGGGTGACCTCGGTGCGTGTGAGCGTGGGCCAGGCGTCGTCCAGCACAGGGGCGTCCTCAGGTCTCTGCAGTCCCACCTGCACAGTGAAGACGATGGGTCTGGTGTAGTCTGTGGTCTCCTGGAGGACAGTACACAGTTACACTTAATACAAACACACAATCTGTGGCACTCACAACACCAACGAAACACTCCATCAGCCTGAACATTTAGGCTGAGCTCTCCTCTCAAACTCAAAACACTCTGTTCCAACTTATGATGTCATGAGGTAACACAGGAAGTGCTCCAGAGTGTCTTCAAAATCCACACACTTTCACTAGAATCATTCGGATGATTTCAGCTCTGGAATTGCCAAATCTCATCTGACCTAAAGGTAAAAGGAGCTGTTAACTTGAAAACCACCACTACATGACATCACAAGGAGGAACAGAGCATTCTGAGTTTTGGAGATGAAGACAGACTAATAATTTACTCAAAAATATGTGAATGAAATAAAACACAAGTCCAGGTCTGTTTTTGAGGAGAGAACAACATTCTAACATGGATTGAAGCTCACAAGAATCTATTTTGTGTAATATAGGATTAAAACGTTACGGATGTGGTGATTTACATTCATACGTCATACATAATTGTAAACTGTAATTCTTTTGTTCCCTCAAACTGCCCAGACGTTACCTGATAATTCTACCTGTGGAGCTGAACTATTATTCTTCTGTTTTACTGCTCTGTGTGCTTAAACTGCCCCTCTGGGACAAATAAAGTGATATTGATGGATTGATACAACATTCTCCTCATATTCTGCAGAGAAAGTCAGTCTGGCACTGCTCATAAAAATACTATTTGAATGTATTTTAGAGGTGGAACCAGCACAACGGAAAATGATGCATCCACATCCTCCAGTCTGAATGTGGTTTGGGGAATTCTGATGCCAGATATGTCCCCTCGGAAGGATTATGTTTTGTCTGGTACTTTTGTTTTAAAATTATTCACATATTACTCACATATTTTTGTTCCTGAATACTTTCTGTACTCCCACAAAGTTTGAGATTTTTTGTAACATTCATTTTGTTTTAGTTAAATGTATTTTCATTTATTTTAGGCAGACAATTTTGGGGAAAAAGTAACTAATAACTAAAATAACTATGTTATATATTAATATGTAACATATTTATAATATGTGATAAATATTACATTGTAAGTGTTTGTCTTTTGTTTTCTGGGTACACTGTTCATTTAATAACCTGTCACCCTTGGGTGCTTGACACGCCCTATTTACAATGGGCACATAGAGCTCTTCCTCTGTTTGCCTGATGAAGGCCGAGTGCTGAAACGTGGCTGATGTCCTAATTAAATTCATAATTTGCATGTACCATTAGTTCTTTTGAATTTCATTAAAGAATGAAAAACAGTAAAATGGGGAAAAGGTTTGTCAAAAAAACAGTCATTGTGCATATTTCAATTTTGATATTTTATTCTCTCTGGTTCTGCCGCTCTGCTTCCTAGTGCATATTTTTCAGTTTTTGGAAGCATCAGTCTGTATGTCTGTATGTTATAGGTCATGGCTGCCATCCAAATCCATGCTAAATACATCACAGAGTTGTTTGGAGCAGGAAAGAAACATGTGGAAAGTTCTGCCACACTGAAGCAAAATGGAATTAAGATGTGCTCAGAAATGAGCATTCGAGGATTTTGTGAAAAACACCAAACCTAATGGTCTTATTTTGTGGACAAACATCGTATTCTTTTAAAGCGACGAGTTTACTTTCATGTCTTAGAAAGTCATTGTTGAACTCCATGACAACAAACAGATAGCAGCAATAAACTCTCCTTTGTTCAATAGGCACAAAGACTGCTTTTTGATCGGTGTAATTTGAAATACTGTAAACTTTAAATTAAACATTGTAAATAGAGGTTGAAACAACAATAATGAAATAACAAACTGTTTTCCCATTTTATTGTTTTTCGTTCTTAATTGAAATTCAAAAGAACAAATGGTACTTGGACCAACTGTGTGTGGGATTCTTCTCTGTTCCTGTTTTTGGGCTGCTCCCTCTTCTCCAACACACCATTTCAAGGAACTAATGTGCAAAGTTCTCATTCTTTTATATCGCTGGGAAAAGAAAAGATACACATTTCATTTCATCTATACAAGCCACGACCTAAATATCTCAGAATTACCCAGAACACACATGTAAATATACACCATAATTGTAACAACATGTTGTGAGTTAAAAACAGAGCCTCCGGTGGTGTGTTTGATTCAGTGTAAATGTACCAGAGGAATTCTAACCCTACACAACAGTACAATAATATACAGTAGAATGTGAAGGCTCCAGATTAGCCCTGTAGTTCTCTCAGAGCTCCAGACGGTGTTGAGAGTGACGCACCATGACGTGGAAGTAGATGTGTTGGCAGAAGTCCTCTCCGGGCAGCAGGCTCAGGTTCTGGGGCAGGGCCTGGGCGGGGTTGTCCAGGACAGCTCTGGGGTTGAACCGCCGCTCCACGATCGACACGTTGTATTTGATGTCTGTGGAGACAAACTATGATATAAAAAAAATGTGCAAACTTCTTTTCGTTACAGACGTGCAGTTGACCAGCAGAATAATAAGCCGACCAAAAAGAGTTAAAAGTCAAGGAAATGTGAATAAATAAAGCATGTAAGTCTAGAATTGCAACAGTGGTGTGTTGGATTTCTGTAGCACCTTCAAGACACCCAAAGTGCTTTACAGTGCATTATTCATTCACCCCACTCAGCCCACCTCGACCAACACTCACACACCACATTCACACTTGACAATGGGGGTGGAGTGTCTTGCATAAGGGCACAATGACAGTTTCCACCAGAACCACTATCGCCTCACTATGACACCTTGTACTCTCAGAGGTCTCCCATCCAAGTACAAACCAGGCCCGGCCTAGTTCAGCTTCTCATACAGATAAGCAAGTAGTATAGTTCATCAAAGTAGTATGGTTCCTCAAAGTAGTATGGTTCCTCAAAGTAGTATGGTTCCTCAAAGTAGTATGGTTCCTCAAAAGCTGTTTTCAGGCCGGTCAGAACGGTGCTGGTGTCGGTTCCCGCACCAGTTCCACTGGGAACCAAAGTGCTCACTGGTGAACGACCCGCGTTCATACTATTTATGGGAGCCCATGACGCGTCATCGTCAGAGGGTGTGGATTTACCACCAAATAAAAACAAGGCCATATGAAAATGGATGTCACAGAGAGGAAAATAACAATCATGGATTTCATCATCAACACCAGCATTTGGACTTATACAAGTCATTCTTTATGTGCACCAAGCTCTGCAACAACATCAATCTGCTGTGGAGAAGACGGCACCGACGCCGAATACAAAGATGTAATCTTATCAGGCAAACACAGATACATGCAAAACAAACAGTATGTAATAGTTTTTGTAGACTTAAACTTTTAATTTAATACATGATAGCTTCAATTGCTCTTTATTTTAACGTGTGTGACCCGGATAAACGTGCTGATGTCTTCTGTGTCGTCACAGTTCGCTTAGAAAAAACAAGTTTTAACTTGGTTCCGTTGGGAACCAACTTTTCGGTTCACGAATACTCTGATTTCTGGCGTGAACATGTGAGTTGGTTCAAGATTAGGTGCACAGTTGTCTGTCGGTCTGAAAACGCCTAAAGTAGTATGGTTCCTCAAAGTCGTATACTTCCTCAAAGTAGTACGGTTCTTCAAAATGTTACTAAAGTAAAAGTTTGTAGAAAAAAGTAAAGTAAACTGTAGTCCGGTCTTGGTCTCAGACTTGACTGCGTTTGGACTCAGTCTTGTCTCGATCTTGAAGGTGCCTGGACTCGGTTTTGTCTCGATCTCGAGGTCAGACACTCACTCACTCTGTAAAATACAACTAAATGTCAGAAATTTCAAAGATGGTCTCAATTTAGTCTTGATAGTCCATGGTCTTGGTCTCGGCCTTTAAAAGTCTCGGTCTTGTCTCTGTCTTAACACTCAGAGGTCTTGGTCTTGTGCTGGTCTCGGGACCCTGTGGTCTCGGACAGGTCTTGGTCTCGGTTAGTGCGGTCTTGACTAGAACATTAAACTGTTTAAGACATTTTAAATAAAATGGCACATTTCTCTCACCATATTTTTACTCCCACTTTAGAAAATGTACATTGTAACAGTACTCTTACTTGATTAAACATTTTGGATGCTCTTTCCACTGTTTACAAGTTTACAAGTTGATACCATTAAATAATTTGAAGACTTTAGCCACAGAATCTCATTATTAATTGCTTTTTATTGGATTTAGAGTTTACAATTGTAAATCAGATGTTATGTCCAAATAGTACTTTACTTGACTATTAATAGCAGTATAGTATTTTCTGAAAATATGCTACCTTTTTACTCTAACATGAGTCATTATTTGGATACAGTACTTTTTACTTCTACCTAAGATTGTAAAAAGTATGACTTAATACTTGTATCAGATCTAGATGCTGATCTGAGCAGGTCCTATTCACAGGACAGAAATGAACCTTTACTGAAGTTTAGTCTGATCTAGTACTAGTATACTCCCACGGACCACTATGGAACCTACCTGGACCACTGACAGATTACACAGATATAAGACCACAAGGGAATATAAAAGAAAGTACCAGTAATATGATTTAATGTTGAAAATCACTATTGCCTACATGAAGAGTTTTTTTTATTATTAATTTTCAGTATTAGTATCATGACAAGACTATTTTGTCATTGGGTTACTCTTCTTAAGGACCATATTGGGAGCTTTATCCACCTCTCCGTACTACAGCAAATATCCAACACAACCACATAGAGAGCTGTAATGCAGACAACAGACCAATGAGCTTTCACATCCTGACATTTCCTCCTGGCCCCTCCCCCTGTGCACTGTTAGGCTTGTGTTTGGCTACAGTTTTGTCTCTCTGGTCTATGACATCAGTGTAGAAGCAGCACTGTGCACCACACTGTCAGCTCTGCTCTGACATATGACGACTGAGCACGGCGCACCATTCCACTGGATTCCAGAGGCTGCGGTCGCACTAAAGACTCATTTCCCGGCCACACTGTTTGGATTTCCAGCCCGGGCTCTGATGCTGGAGGCGCAGGGACCAGGAGCAGGCCTGTAAACTCAACATGGCCGCAGTGTTTAATCAGCACAGCTCTGAGGGCCCCAGCATTATATCACCACCACACACGGCCCCCTGAGAGACACGCATGTAAGAGGAACACATATGATGCCAAATGAAGCTTTTAAAGTGGAACAAAACACTAACTCCACTTTTTCAACACTAAACTGCTCCTAACCATTTTTGGCAACATTAGAGCAAATTATATACATTTGTTCACCTTGCCAGCAACATGAAATGTTGCAATTTCTGTGAGTATTTTGTGAGTATTTACAGTCTGACCAATCACAGAGCAGCTCTGTGGTTTAGACAGAGGCCAGTGGTGATCAAAACAAAACAAACATGATGACGCCGACCAACATACTCAATACTGACTATTTAGTTTGTGGAAAACATGCAGAGGGAAGCGCTTTGTGCAAGAATTTTTGCCCTTTTGAGGCTTCGGCCAGTGAATGTGAAGTATTAGTTTGAACAATCCGATCATTGTTTCTTCTTCCATGAGTAGAAGTGACCTTCAGTGGTCACTGTGACTCCCAGTAATTAGAGTCATCATGATAGACTGATGATAGACTGATGAAAGACTGATGAAAGACTGCCCTGATTACAGTTGGAGATTGACGTGTGGATACCTGTTAGTGGGCCTGTAACAATAATCAATAAATCATTTAATCTCATGATATTTTTTAATGAGCTTTCTGGCTGTGATAAATTCAGCATTTGCATGCTTGTTTGTTTTCCTCATCTCTCTCTCTACCAAAGAGGCTGAATGTCAGAAGGCTTCTGTCACTCTCTGACTCCTCTCGTTTCCTTACCATAATGACACTTAAATGAACATATCAGTAAAGACCATGGCATAGCCTGTATAGAACATGGATCTATGCTATAGACAGATTATTTGTCCATCAACACAGCGGATGCACACGCAGTCTGAGAACAGAAAGCACCGCGGTCTATGTGAGTTACATGAAGCTGCAACAGCAGCTAGTGTCGCCGACAGAGCACCAGAACAGTTCATCACCATGTGACACAATAAGTCACGATGCCAAATCAACACTAGTGAGTGGAGTGAAAAATCCCTCCGCCGTCCAGGTAGAATCCATAGCAAAGGAGAAATTCAATTTATCAACTGGACAAAAGTTTATTTGTCTTCTTCCGAAACAGTGCGGATGAGCTGCGAAACGTATTCGACCAAATAAACTTCTGTCCAGTTGACAAACTGAATTTCTCCTTTGCCACTGGTGAGTGGGACTCGTCTCAATGGCTCACATGTGTCAAATGCAGTGAGCGTACAAACGACGGGAAGAAATGGCTCAAACCCCAGTTGCTGACAAACATCTCTACCCCATCAACACAACGTGCCCCCGAGAGAGCCTGAAATCCACTGAAATCCCACAAGACTCAGATGCAATACCAGACAGGACAGAGACTCCTCACAGAGAAACAGGATCATAATACGGTTAATACGAACACTTCAACACCAACATGACGAGGCAACAGTAGCAGCTACAGAGAGAAGAGCCACTATATTTCAATGTAAGTCAACGACTAAAATCACTGTTAAGGGCCATTTTGTTGCAGAGACTTAATAATTCATTTATTTATTGTTTTCAAGTACATTTTTTGTTAGCAAGTCCTCACTGTGAGCCAGACTACATTAAGCTTATGTTAACAAGTCTGTTTTATTTCGGCCTATTGTTTTTGGTTGTCTTGCACTTCCTGTGTTAAAGGGTGTATTTGCATTTTTATTCCATTGTCCAGTATATTAGTTGAAAATGGTCTGAAAATGTCAGTATTATCGTTTATCGCAATCATTTCTTAATCAATTAATTGTCCAACAAAATCTGTTATCATTACAGGCCTACCTGTTGGACCAATCACATTGTTCCTTATACTTCCAACCCCACCCCGGCCCCGCCTCACTCTCCCCTTTAGTCCTCCAGACCCCGACCCTCCATCCCCTTTAGTCCTCCAGGTGCTGCCCACTTTAGCAGCTCTATTTGAAATGTGATTGTGGGCGGAGTTATTGGTATCAAATGTCAAGCTTTAAACCCTGCTGCAACATTGGAACCCAGAAGTCTTTATTCCAAGCAAACTGGTTTCAGTAATCGTCTGTAAAACATCCTTTATCTCTGAGTTTCAGTAAATATGCGGTTTTAAATTTTCCAGGATTGTTGCGTCACAAGTATAAGCCCTGTGCAGTTATTAAATCCATAAATCATCACCAGACTCGTTCAAAGCATTCCTGACGCCAAACTGAGTTACAACTGAAACTGCAGAGCATGTTCATTATTGGCTATGATTAGTTCTTTTTCCCCAATGGTAGTTCCCTCTGCTGCCAGTAGATGGAGACACCAGATTTCAGTATGGAGAGCACCCAAACTGAAAAATAATGGTAAGTTCTAAA